ACACACACACACACACACACACACACACACACACACACACACACACAGACGCCTGTCACACACAAGGCTGAGCCTCTGGCAGTGCTCCGGCAGCTGAGAAAATCTATGTACACTGAAAGAGTAGCACCAAGTAGGTGGCTGACAGCCATGCCTGCCGTTCCAAGGCCCCCGTCCAGAAAAAAGGGTCCGAAGGGCATCTTGCACCGTCCTTCCGGGCAGCCCCGCCAGGAGGCATTGGTCCTCAGGGCAGGCCCCTGCCGGGGCGGGGCGTGGCCTCATCGCAGGAGGCGGGGCGCCGGCGAGAGGGAGGCGGGGGCACACAGCGCCTCCTCGATGTCCTCCAGGCAGCCGAGCAGTTCCATGTCGCGGAGCACTCGGCCCAGCAGCTCCAGCGTGGCCTCGCGCCGCGGCGTACGCCGCCGCCAGGCCGCCAGCATGCTGTAGTGCGCCTCCCGCAGGCAGCGCCCGTTCTGCAGCTCCAGCCGCTCGATCTCGTGCTCCCTCAGCCCCAGCCGCCGTACGAACTCCTTCCAGCGCGACGGGGGCACGCCGTCCACCACGGCATACAGAGTCGCCGGATCCGCTGGGTCGGCTGCGGGGAAGCCGGCGGTGAGCTTCCAGCCGCGGCGGCGGCGGCGGCGGCGGCGCCCCGGCCCGCCCCCCTGCAGCCCCCCTGCAGCCACCCCCGCCCACTCCCCGTCGGCGCACGCGCCCTTTAGGAGCCCTGCCCACCTGCTCCGTCCAGGAACTCACCTTCTGGGCACTGAGTGTGGGTGCTGTCCTCCGACTTCTGAGCAGGGGTGGGGATGGGGGTGGAGGCTGGAGCCGCAGTGAGGATGGGGCCGGCCTCCTGGTAGGGTGAGGCCATCTCTCCAGAGACTGATGCAGCCCTGAACTTAGACCAGTCACTAGGGGTGAAGACGGACCTGGGGCTGAAGGTGGGGTTGGGGATGGGACTGAAGCTCGTGGTGGGACTGAAACCTGCCACCGAGGCCAGGGTCTCAGGCTCCCCCTAAAATAGAGAAGGCACAGCATTAGCAGAGGAGAGGAAAAACAGCCCCAAACCTCTTTACTCTGGAAGGGGGTTGGGACTAGAGGGAGTTAGGGGTGGCCGAGGGTCATTTGGGTATCACAAGATTATAATGGACCATCAGGGAAGACTGGGGGTAGGTTCCTACTTTCATCTTACCTCCTTTGTAGGTGTCGATTTCCCACAAACTGAGAAAAAAGAAACAAAGCGTCACAAATTTCACTTCCTCTCTCAGCCCTGGCACCCATACTGGGGCTGGCCGTGGGGACTTGTGGTGACATGCTTCAGGGCCAAAGTGGCCCCGGGGACAAGAGAACTACTGATGTAGCATGACCTCTCACAAGCCATCAGGGCCGCCTCCTGCCGACAGGGTTCTCGGCAGCAAACGAAGGGCACACTCCTCATTTCCCTCCGTGGGCTGGTCCATCCTGCCCACTCACCCTCCTCCCACATCCCCGCCAGCATGCTTTCCCCTCCCAAAGGCCCCACTCACCAATGGAGAAGAACCTGGGCTTCTGCCGTTGGTAGCGGCACATTACACCGATGAAGGATAAAACGCAAATGCCAAAGAAGATCACCAGGGGCAACAGCACTGTGGTACCTGGAGACAAGGCAGACTGTGGTCTGGGGAGGGGATATAGCAGGAGGCAGCAGGGCTGGCTGGGTAGGTGGAGGGGCAAGGATTAGAACGGGGCAGGTGAGCATGGGAACTGGGTGATTTGTCCTCACCTGGGTCCTGAGGGACCTTAACCGTTTCCACAGGGGGTAGACACCACTTTGTGCACTCTGTGTTTTTCTTACAGCTAAAAGAAGAGATAGTACAGGTGAATAGGGGCCCTCCCATAAGAGGAAGACGGGGCGGGGCGGAGGGGCTCAAAGAAAAAGAAAAAAAAACTCCACCTCGTTGCAAACTCTTTGCTTTACGAATATTTTAGCTCTCTCTTGATATAATGGAAATTAAACCTCTCCTGGGAAATTAAACTTTTCCTGATGCAGAGGAATGAAACGCCAGTTAATCACAAAATCAATTAATTTTAGAACTGGTCTTGAGGAGGCTGTGTAGAAAAAAATTAAAAGCGGTGAGAGACGGGGCATGAATTCCAGCCCATTCATTGGCTAGCAGCGTGAAATCCAAGCAAGTCATTTAACCTGTAAGCCTCAGTTGGCCCATACACAAAATAAGACTCTTACCCACCTGCCAGAATTGAGGAGTTAAGTGAGATCAGTCTGCCTGACATATAGTAAGTGCTCAGTAAATGGTAATGGTCACTGAATCGTTTTACTGACGAGAATCCCATGGTAAAGAGAGGCTGGAGAGCTTTTTCTTGAGATAACGTTGCTAGTGACAATCCCTGACTTTGAGAGAGGGGTCAAACATGCATGTGAAAAATTTTAAAATACATATTGTTGGGGGCAGCCAGAGAGCACTCTAGAACAAGCACATCTTCCCCCATTGGGAGTTGTCACTGGCAGCATGGAGTGATGAGAAACCCATGGGGGGGCTAGAAGGAACTCAGGGGAAGGTGAATGCTCAGCAGGAATCTGAAAGCAGGAAGAGGCACTTTTGCCCACCTCACAAGCTCATGGTGAGAACCTCATGGAATGAGTGTGAAAGCTCTTTGAAGCAGCAGAGCGGACTTAGAAAAAGAAAAATAGTTCGGTGTAAGACACTTTGTAGCTATACAACTTGCCAAGTGGATGTCCTTGGCCTTACTTTAAAGGTGAGAAAACTAAGGCTCCGAGATGTTAAGTAACTTGCCTAAGGTCACACAGCCCAAGTGGCCTGGCTGAGATTTAAACCCAGGTCAGTTGAACTTTAGAGCCCTCAGAGTTCCTTCTTTGCAAGCGAGTGTGCAAGACCAGGCTCCGTGGAGCCAAAAGAGGAGGCCTGAACAGAGAGACTGGGGAAGAAATACCATACTGCAGCAAAGATGCCATCAAAAGTAAGAAGCACCATTATTTACATACTACATACACACACACACACACACACACACACACACACACACACGGACCTGCCAGTTAAATCATGATACATCATCAATTGTTAGATGCAGTCTGATTTCAGAGATGTGAAAATGCACGTCCTAGACTCGATGAACTGTAGTAGACCCTGTCACCCCACAATCCAAATGTCTGAATTAAAAGAACTGCAAGGGCGCCTGGGTGGCTCAGATGGTTAAGCGTCTGCCTTCGGCTCAGGTCATGATCCCGGGGTCCTGGGATCGAGTCCCGCATCGGGCTCCCCGCTCAGCGGGAAGCCTGCTTCTCCCTCTGCCTCTCTCTCTCTCTCTGTCTCTCATGAATAAATAAATAATCTTTAAAAAAATAAAAAATAAAAAAAATAAAAATAAAAATAAAAGAACTGCAAGTCCATGAAGTATGAGTCTCTATTCCCAAAGACTTCTTCAGATTTTAGGAGCAAGTCCCCCCCGGGGTGGGGAGGGAGTGTGGGAGGAAGGACTATCTGGTGTTTTGACACTAAGTATCAACCACTCAAACAGCCAGTAAGAGCCAGAGCATCCTGGGGTGTCTCCCTTGCCCTGCTGGTGGCTCTCACCGGCAGCCACCGCACCCCACCCCAAGCCCCCTCCCCACCCGATCCAGTGCCCAGCAGCTGGCAGAGATACTCACTGAACACAAGAGACGCATTCATTCTCTCTTAGAAAGAAACCCGCGTGGCAGGTGCACACGGTGTTCTGTCTCTCCTTGCCTGTGGGGAGAGATGCAGCACAGCTAGGGGAGGACCGCCCTGCACCCCGAGGATCACGGGGAAAGCCAGGAGGGGCAGGAGAGTGGAGGTGGTCCCACAGACTTCGGGAGTGGGAAGGAGGGGAAGTGTTGCATCAGGGAGCAGGGGGCACAGAGGCGGAGAGCTTCCTCCTGAGCCAGGGCCACCCTGGGGCAGGGAGGGGGGCCGGGGTCGGGAGAGCCATGCTCACAGGAGATCTGCACCGTGCCATTGGGGCAGAGGCTGCAGTTCACACACTGGAAAAGGGTTTCACTCCAGTAATGCCGGTACTGGTTCTCCCGGCAGCCGCACACAGTGTCCCGGTACACAGTGCAAGGAGAAATCTCCACTTGGTTCATTTCTGGACAGGGGAGGAGACGGGGTGTGAGCCCCTGCCCCACTGCAGTGTGTGTGTTTTTCTCTGCACACACGTCCCCACCCATGCACTCACCCATGCACGCGCATTCCCGCCCACACCCACCAGCAGAGATCTGTCCGCCCTCGGGGACACAGGCACGCACACTGCTCTAACCGAGCCACCTGGCGCTCTGTTTAGAGCCCTTGCCGCCTCCTGAGACTCACCTTTTCGGCATTTGGAGCAGCTGAGGCACTGTCTGAGGTGGTTCTCAGAAGCTGTGAAGGTGCCATTTTCACATTCCCTGCAGTCCGTGTCCAGCCCTGGGCCGGGACAGTCATTGTACAGGTAGGTCCCTGTGATGGGGTGGCAGGGTTAGAGCTCAAGGAAGGAGACCCATGCTAGAGAGAACAGCCAGGGCCACCCTCCTCCCCAAGTCTCTAACAGAGGAAAGAAGGGAGAAAATCCCAGCCCAGGAGAGGCAGCAAAGTTAGGAGACTGGAGGTGAGAGACCCCTAGGTTCTAGAACCTCTGGAAAAGGCAAAGGAAGAAGCAGGACCCCATAACTGAGCAGGTTTGCTGTAACCGCATTCTTCTACCTTTGTGACACTTTGTACAGCAAATGGAATTATCTCGAGGGTGAATATATTTTCCTTGGGGACACAGAATAGCTCTCTTCTCCCGGTCCCTGAGGTGAGGGACCAGTGCCGTAACCCTTAAGGGGTATATTTCCACCAACAGAGCCAGGAGCACCTGGGGAAGAATCAGACAAAGGAGATCCCATCAGGAGAGGGTGGGTGGGAGCCTTAGAGGTAGCAAGTCCAAAGCCTTCCCAGCTCAAGTCCTTCCTCAGTGGAACATTCTCCCCAGGCCAGGCGACTCCCGCTCACACTCGTTCTTTCTCTAAGCTTAGACAGCTGGCCCCATGTGATCCAGTGCTTAATTCTTCCCTAGAACAACTAGGGACTAATTTTTGTCCCTCCAAGTCAAGGCTAGTAGACCCCAAGCCTGGGCTCTATTTTATCCTTCTTTCCCCATAGCAGCTAATAGTGCTGGACGCGGGACAGGTGTTTAAGAAATGTTTTTTTGATTGAGAACTGGCAGGTTACCTCAATTATGGCCCTTCCTTCCAACAAGGAGCCCTAAGGATTGGGGTGGTGTTTCTCCATCCGGTGCTATGTTCGTAGTGTATTCACTTTGTGAACAGTCACAGAGGTGAACAGTTAGGATCTGTGCACTTTCCTGGGTTGTGTTATACCAGCAAAAAGGTTTTTTATAAAATCGGATTGGTGTGGAAGTAAGTGATGTTTCTGTGGGCACCATTCCTGGGGAGTGGGCAGAAGCAAAAGGAAGAATTTCTTTATAAATCTCTATCAGAACCTCACTTAGGATTGTGCCCTCAGACTCCAGGCCATATCCCCTTCTACCACCAAATCTGCACAAAGGCCCCAGGCTGGCCAGGGCAAATGGGGAGGGGAGTAAAAGGGAAAGTTGTGGGTCAGGAAAGAGGCTGGTGATTGACGAAGTTTAGGGGCAGGCAGGAGTGGACAAATGCATGTAGGTTACACGCAATAGAGCTGGCCAGAGGCTGGTGTCCGGCTCAAAGGACCATCAAGTCTAGAGCTGAGGGTGGCTCAGGGAGTCCTGCAGCCATCTGCACACCAGGGCATGCTGGGAGGCATGTTTTACGGACTCGGGGCAAGCCTAGGGCAACTGAATCACCTGCTCAGTTCTGGCTTCAGAGCCAGGGACAGCAAAGCCAGGAGTCAGTGTCAAGCTCCAACCCAGCCTTGGCCCATTGATCTCGTGTCAACTTCGTTCCAGCTTTCCCTGGGTCTTGATTTGGTTTTCCCTCTGCTATAAGTGCCACTTTATGTAAAGATAAGAGGATGTCCTCAAAGTGTGTTAAACACTGGGGAGCAACAGATCACAGAAACCCCAGTCTGGGACAGGAGGGCATCGCAGCCCACAGCCCAGTAGGCGGGCAGGTGGGCAGGTGGGCAGGTGGGCATGTGATGCTCTGAGGCACCCTCTGGGGGATGCTGCAGCCTGGAAGCTGGAGCCTCAGCCTCAAACAGAAGCCACCCTGAGAAACACAGCCGCAACACCCCCCCACCCCCACCCCCACGCCCCACAGGGCTGGGCTCCCCTACTCAGAGGGCAGCACCCTCCTTGGCCCACTCCAGAACTGTTATCTCCCCTGAACAAGACTGGGGCGTCCAGCACAACAGGAAGAGTTTGGGGTGGTTCTGGGAAGAACTTCCCAATCCTGAAAGTGTGGTTCCTTTCCCTGAAGAAGAGCTGCCGGCGCTAAGGTTACTAAGGTTACTGGCACTTGAAATTCCACGCGGGCCCGCCTACCCCCCACGCCCAGGAGCAAAGCCAACCAGCAGAGACAGAGTCAGGGAGAAAAACTAGGGGCTCCAGTTCCGAGACAGCCTTGGTAGGGAGCTTTTCAGGGCCCACTGGCCTGTGAGGTATAAGCTTCCCGGGGGAGCGAGCGAGGGAGGGAGAGAGGCTTTCTCAAGCCTAGTGTCTCCCTCCTTCGCCAGCACTTTTGGGGTTAAGTCAGATCCGGGAAAGGGAAATCTTTTCCCAGCAACTCCGCCCAGTGACTCAGGCCAGGGAGGGAGGGCATCGAGGGGAAGGGAGAGAGAACCAGCAGCTTCCCCAGCTCCTCAAGGGTCATGACTCAGCACAAAGACTGAGGGACCCGCCAGCCGTTAAGACCCCATGTGAGCCCTTCCTCCAGTGGGCCAGGCTCTCCCTCCAATCCCCACCAGGAGTGCGCTTCCTCCCCCTCCCCCTGACCCTCCCCTCCTCCTCAAAAGAGCCAGGCAGAGGACCCTGGTCCCACTTGGCCCACAGATTTCGGGAAATGGCTCCCTCTCCCATTCCATCCCAAAGGGAAGTCTCCTCAACCCCTGGCTTCCTCCCATCGGGTCACTACCCACCCCTCCCTGAGGGGCCTCTCAGCTCCTTCCCGCCCCTCAGCATCCTTCCTTTAGACCGGGCCCCGCCCTCGCTCCTCCTCCCCATTCAACCAGTCCCCAGCCGACAGGCCTTTTCCCTGGGTTCTCACAGGAGCCCCCTGACACTCCCCAGTTCCAAAAGAAAGCAAACCAAGGCCGCCCTCCCACCCGGGGTTCACTGCATTCCCACAGCTTGGCTGGTTCTGGCCAGTGGGGTTGGGGTTGGGGACCTCCCTGAGGTCCCCAAACAACCCTTAGGAAATAAGGCCAGTTCTGAGTCTCCACAGCACACCCCCCCCCCCCCCGCCAAGTCCACTGGCAGCACAGGAAACATTCCAGAGCCCTGAACGCCCACGTCCAGGAGTGAGGAAGCAGGCGGGCGAGAAGAGATGTAACACAGCCAGCCCCTATTTCCCAGGGTTCTCATAGCCCCCGGCAGCGCCCCAGCCAGCCCTCTCTGACCCCTAGTAGCCAGGGCCTCAGGCCCCCACCAGTGGGTACCGTTTGCTGGCACCAGCTGGCTCCAGGGAGCAGGTCCTCAGCAGCTGTATCTTGCAGCTAAATTAGGAGGTGAGCAAGCTCTGTGCCCCAAGACCCTAGCCAGCCTGCACCTGTCATCTGGAGCAAGGGAAAGGCAGGAAGCTGGGAGGTGCCTGTGGAGAGATAGTTGAGGGGGTGGCCCAGCACCCCTCCAACTCCCCCACAACTTCCGCCTGGGGAGACTTTAAAGTGTGACTTCCTGTGCTGGGGCTGCAAAGGGGGCGGAGAAGCTAGAGAAGCGGAGAGAGCGACCCTGTGGTCTAACCCTGACCCAGCACCTCACGACCTTCGCTGTGCCCTTCCCCTGCATTAATTTGTTCATTAAATTAAAACGTGTTTGTTCTATGAATGTCAAAATCTTTGGGGAGCTTACGACAGCTTCTCCTCCAAGAGCTCAGTCACGATCCCACCTCCCTCCCCTGAAGCCCTCCATTAACGCCACTTCCTCCGCTCAAGCTCATTAGATGCTCAGCCCCCTGTGAACCTCAATACCATGAATTAACTATATCTACTTTGGGCTCTTATTATAATATAATTATCCTGGGTGAGTAGATATGATCTCCCCAAACAGACCATAAACTCTATGAGATGAGCAATCAGAGAGCGTGTGTGGTCAGAGATAGTGTCTTATCCTCCTGGGTATCTTCTCAGCTCCCAAAATGAGAAGAGCAAAATAAGTATAGACTGATTGGCCTATCTAACAACTCATCTGAGCTCCACTCCAGTTGAAGCCAATGCTTCCCAGAGAGGGAAGTAGAGAGTCAGTGCCCCCTTGTAAGAACACACTTATCTCCAGGGGAAAGTTCTCAAACCATGCCCACTCCTTCACACACACACACACACACACACACACACATACACACACACACACACACACACTCTCTCTCCCCCACTGGAGAGTCTGATGAGTGTTCTTCTCCTTTTGAGCATCACTGGTGACTGAATGCAGCCCATACAAACAATATAAAGGCAGATAAGAGTTGGAGAAGCCCTGCTCTAGCCTGTTAGGTGTGCACTTCATCTGGCTGTTCCAGAACCCTTAACATGCCCCACACTCAACAGATCCATCTCCTGGTCTAGACAAATGTCACACCACCAACTTCTCAGCACCAGTGCCCAGAGCTCTGCTACCCTTCTCTCCTCGAGGCCTCCCTGTCCCGATCCTGCGGCCCCTGGGTCTGTCGGTTCATCTTGCCAGTCCTTCTTCAGTGATCTCTCAGTCTTGTCCATACCCATGGGTTGCCTCGCATTTGGATTATTGCAACTGTCTTCCAGCTGACTGCCCAGCCACCAGCCTCTTTCCTGCTCCGATCCATCCTACTCACTTCTTTATCTGTGTTCGCGCTTCAGCTTGTAGCCACATGTGTGGGAATCATCTTCTCCAGAACCTGACCTGGAAAATCATTTCCACAGGTCACTCTTTCCCTGAACGAGTACTTGCAGAGGTCCCTCACTGCTATTCTGAACATGTTCGCAGGCGCCATGGGCCCTCAGGGAACTCTTTCTGAATGAATGAATGAATGAATGGATGGATGAATTCCTCCACCTGGGACCACATTCAAGATTCTCTCTTCATCCCCTCCCCCACTCCCTCTAATGTTCTCATTCTCATTTCTTCTTGTTCCTCAACATGCTCCTTCCACTCCAGCCAAGGTGTTCTGTCTGCTTCCTGCCACCACCACCCCCAACACAAAATCCCACCTCTCCCTTCCCCTACTCTCCCTCCAACCAGTCTCCCTTCTTTCTAGCCACACTGCCAGTGAGTGACTTCGAATCTCAGCCCCAAATCCACTTTTCTATGAGGTTTTCCCTTCCTCATTCCATCTGACCAAGGCCTGTTCCTTGATTCATGCAACAAAGAGTTAGGGAGCACCATCTAGGCACCAGGTCCCATTCGGCTGCTAGGGGTCTACGCCGAATACACTGCTCATGCTGTCCAGTTCTCGGCGGGGTCAGAGACAGTCCCTTGCAGGCTCTTCGGTCTAGGCAGGGGGTGCTCCTGGAGCACTGAAGCCAGAGCTGAGGCAGCTGGATGATGCTCATTCCCTTCCCTGGTTCTGCCTCGCATCGGTGTTCTAGGACACTACATCGAAATGCTTTTGTGGGTATTCTCCGCCCGCCGCCCCGGACTGTTCTGAAACCATTTTTTTGCTGCAGGCTGTCTTGGCTCCCAGACTGTAAGCTCTTTGAGAACAGCAAAATCCTACGAGGTTTGTCACAGTCTCTCCAGTATTCTTCCCCACTATCCCCCCCGACACAGCATACTCCTGTGCTCGGTACTGCCCACTGAACGGTGAGCAACTGAAAAGCTCAGACACCTCGAAAACCTTCTGTTTCCCTTCAGGCTCCAGGATGAGCTCGGGTCCCTTCCCAGTCACACTCCCACAGGGGCTGGATGCTCCACCCCAGCCCCCAGGCACTTTCCTCTATCTGTTCAGACTACCCATCCCCTCTGTTTTCCAAACACAGTAGCCACCAAGCAATTACTACCAATACTACTAATACTAACAAGACAAACCGAACATTTAATTGAGTGCTTTCTATATGCTATACTTTATTTCTCTACTAGAATGGAGACTCCATGGGGGCAGCGATTTTGTTCACTGCTGTCATCCCAGCACTTAAAATAATGTCTAGCACAGACCCAGCACTTGCTAAGTTGAATGCTTAACCCACAGTTGACCCTTGAACAACGCAGAGATTAGGAGCGCCAGCCCCCCACTTAATGAAAAATCCATGTATAACTTTGAATCCCCCAAAACGTAACTACTCATAGCCTACTGTTACTGGAAGTCTTACCAATAGCAGAAACAATTGATTAACACACATTTTGTATGTTATGGGGAGTATATACCAGATTCTTACAATCAAGTAGGCCAGAGAAATGAAAATGTTATTAAGAAAATCATAAAAAGAAAATACATTGACAGTACTGTATTTAATGGAAAAAATCTGCACATAAGTGGACCTGCGTGGTTCAAACCCGTGTTGTTCAAGGGTCAACTGTATATCAATCTATTTAATCTTCAAAACGACATTATGAGGTTGTGTTTATTACAGACGTTTTGGAGATAAAGAAACTAAGACATGGAAGGTTCTGTAGCCTGCCCAAGCTCAGGCAGCTAGTCGGTGAGGGAGCCAGGATTTGAATCTAAGCGATCTACTCCTAAAGAGAGAAAAGAAGGAAGACCAGGCACCTGGGAGAAGGACAGCCTTGAGAGGAGTCAAGAGAAGGGGCTGGGGAGACAGGAGGCGGGGCGGTGAGGCCTAGATGGAGAGAGGTGCTGCCCGGGGAAGCAGGGTCTGGAAATGTGGACGCCAGCAGAGAAGAGAGGGAGAGGGAGGAACCAGGGAGAAAAAGTTTCTTTTCTTCTTTTGTATTTGTTTATTTATTTTTAAATACGTTCAGTTAGCCACCATGTAGTACATCATTAGTTTTTGATGTAGTGTTCCATGATTCATTAGAGGAAAAGTTTCAAAAAAGGAGACCATCGTGGGGAAACTAACAGAAAAGGAAGGAATGCTTAGGAGAGACAGCACAAGACCCAGAGGAGAGGACAGCGGGGGGTGTAGGCCGGGAAAGGGCAGAGACGTGGAAGAAACCGGCCAGCGCAGGCCGGGAAAATCCACCCCAGTAGGTGGGAGACAGGGGCTCAGAGCACGGCACAGGGTGACTCCAGGACAGGCAGGGAGATCAAGGATACATTGAAACGAGGCTGAGGCACAAGAAAGGGACATTTTCCAGTGACGAAAACAACTTTCTACTAACTTCCCCAAACCGAGCTGTAAAAGAAGAAACCAAGACATTGTTGTTTAGGCCTGTGGGAAGGGGGCTGGAAGGCTGGCACAGGGAGGGGGACAAGGCACCAGGTGGGGGTGGTGCTGGTTGTCCAACAGAAGCCACCCATCTAGAAGCAGAGCCAGAGGCAGAGGGTGAGAAATGCCTCCAGGTGGGCGTCCTGGCCCTGGGGAGGGCACTGGGGATGCTCTCCATGGGGTTGCCCTGCCCCTACCCAGTTCCCACTCTACTCCCAAATACCCCCCTCCACACAGGCACACACACACACACACACACACACACACACACACACACACAGCATCCCAAACTTACCCACCAACCCATGTCCCTTCCCGGACTCAGTTTCCCCCTTCACTAGCATCCAACTCCTACCCTCTGCCAGGGTTTGCTCAGCCCGGGCCCACCGGCAGCCCCCCCTCTCCCAGCCCCCCCCAACAGGCTGGCCAGCCCACCGATGGACAGAACTCTGAATCATCGGGACTCCGAGGCCTGAATGTCCTTCTTCCACCCCTTTCCTTACTCTCCCGAATCTACCCCACCCTCGGGGATCACCTGCCCCCACATTCCCGGCCACCTCCTGGCCCCAGCAAACTTCCTTGGCTGTCCTCGGCTTCTCTTTCACTGTCCCCCTGGCCTCCGACTCAGGGCCGGCGGCCGAATGGGGAACCCGAACGTCTGGCCGCGTTTGAAGTGGGGCCACACTGGCCCGAGGCCGGGGCGGGGGGGGGGAGGGGGCCTGGGCGAGGGCCCACTCCTGCCGGGCGGCGCCCTCCTCCCCTCCCCCAGCCCACTGGGCCCTGGTCGCGGGGCTCACCAGTGGCAGCAGGAGGCCAGGCACGGTGGGGAGGCCCATGTCCGGCCAGCTGTGGCCTCTCACTCCCCCATCAGGGCTCAGGCAGTGGCGGCGGCGGCGGCGGAGTCCGGGATGCGCGGGCCCGGCAGGTCCCGAGAGGAGCCCGGGGCCGCGGGCAGGGGAGCTGAGGTGGAGACCGGGGTGAAGATCACGGCTCGGTCCCGGGCCGGGTCCTCCAACCCCAAAGGCCAGAGCTGGAGCCCGAGTCCTGCGAACTGGGAGAAAATTAAAGCCGAGAGGAGCGAGGAGGTGGGAGGGCAGGGAGAGTGGCAGATGGGGTGTTGCAACTGCGGGACAGGAAGAGCCTGGGGGCGGAGAAGGGAGGAGGCGGGAGGAGGGGGCGAAGGGCTGTAACCCTTTGGAGCTCAGTCAGAGGCGCCCGAGTCCCGGATCTGGCGGCCCCCGGCCCCCAACCCACCAATCCGACCCCTCCCGAGCCGACGCCGAGGTGCATAAGCCCCTCCCCTCCTCACTCACCCAGCCACGCGACCTTTCTCACGTGAACAGCAATAAACCGGCTCGGGGCTCTGGAGTCAAATTCACTGGGTTCCAGTTCAGAAGGCTCTATTTTTTAGCTGGCTGGTGCCGGACCAGCAACCTACACCCTGTGAGTCTGTTTTCCAACTTGCCACAGGGAGAGAACCTAGCTCAGGGGGTGGCTGTAAAGGTTTACTGAGACAGGACAGGTTGAGGGTCTGATCCATGACAGGTACTCAGTGTTCCTTAGTAGCTCTTCCCTTGCCCCAGAGTTCTCCACTGACACCCTGATCTCCCACTTTCTTGGGTATTTAGCCCTCCAATCCAGACTCCGAGTGAACCCTCACCCTAGTTTTCTGCCCTGCCTGGGGCCCTGACGCCCTCCACCCACTCCGGGGCTCATCCACTCTGCCTGGCCGGGGGCCCCAGCTGCTGATCGTGGCTCTGCCACAAAAAATTGGGGACCTGAGGCAAAGCCTCCACCGAGCCTCATTTACCAAGTGACAGTAACATCGCCTGGCCCACCTACACGAGGAAAACGATGTCATGAGGATAAATGAGATCATACCTGTGAAACTGCTTTGGAAATTACAGATATCTCGATCGCGTTTTACCAGTACGTTCTCAGTGCCCCTCTCCCAAATATTCTGATATATAAATCCAAATTGACCTTAGACATAATCTACCACGGCCCTCTGTTTTATAGGTAAGGAAACCGAGGCCCGGAGACACACAAGGCATGTTCTCTGCACAGCCGGCTGAAACCTCTGAGCCCCAACTTCAGTCCAAGGGCCTGTTTTGCTATTATAGACAACATTACCACTTTTCTATCTGTCCCCTTGAGTCAGACACCACACTCTGGGTATTTCACACCACCCCGCTTTGTGCAGGATATATCCCAGATGAGTCCCACAACAAGGGTCCCACAACATTCACCCACATATCCTCTGGGCACAATGACTTTCGTAATACCCAGCTAAGGCCTGAGATCCCCCAGCCGCTGAGGTTGCTAAAAGCAGGGAGACCGGAGAGGTCTTTGTGACTTGGAATCAGAGCTTCTGGCCCCTTCTCCCCTGAATCTACGATCTGACCCCACCTCTTGGACTCCAGCCTCCGTGGCTCTCCCTGGCCTCCCCTCTTTGATCCCAAGGGTGGGGCATCTGTAGGTGAAAATGGAGCTCAGATGTCCCCCACCCCTGGCTGATGTCACCCCATTTTCCAGCTTCTGAAAAAAGAAGTGTTGGGCGCCTGGGTGGCTCAGTTGGTTGAGCGACTGCCTTCAGCTCAGGTCATGATCCTGGAGTCCCGGGATCGAGTCCCACATCGGGCTCCCTGCTCGGCGGGGAGTCTGCTTCTCCCTCTGACCCTCTTCCCTCTCGTGCTTTCTATCTGTCATTCTCTCTCTCTCAAATAAATAAAATCTTTAAAAAAAAATGAAAAAAGAAGTGTTTACCATATATTAGGCATTCAATAAGTGGTAGCAATGTTAGGAGTTGCACAATGAGCAGAATTCCCAATTAACAACAACTTTAATGTCCTATCTTAATGTTACAAGGAATTTTTAATAGTCTGTGCCAACTGTCAAAGCCATTGTACATAGCCTGACACCAAAAGAGAGTTTCTTTCATTGTTTAGGATAAATGTGTATTTACTTTAAATTTTGAAAAATGTGGTATTAAATTGTTCAATAAAATTCTGTCTCAAAAAGATGGTGAGAGGTGGGTGCTGGTAGGAATAGGAAAGGCTAGTCTCATGGAGGAGGTGAGAATGTGGCCATGACCCCTCCAGGGGAAGAAGAAATAATGGTGAGGGAGGGAATGGCAGAGATGGAGAAATAGGAGAGGGGTGAACTAGGGGATGATGGAACTGGCTGCTAGGGCTTGTGGAGCAACAGATGAAGAGGAAAGAGCACAGACCCCTCTCCCCTGCCATGTCTCCCCCCCCCGCCACACACACACACCCCACAGCAGCAGAGTGATGGAAAGGACACCGGACTCCAAGTCTGGGTGACTTGGGTTCTAGCCCCAGCCCTGTCATCTGACTCCATGTCTCACAGGGAGACAGGATGGGTCATAGCAGGAGATCTGGCTGGTTCTGTAAGAATTAGGAGCTTGGGCAAGTCACGTCACCTGCCAACCTCCTCAATAAGGAAAAGAAGGCAACCGAAAGCCTTTCTTCTCTGACACCCATTCTGACTCCTAACCCTGGGGCCCAAGGGTATGTATAGATAAGACATAAACAGCTCAGGGTGGAAATGCACTGGGCCAGGAGAAACTCCAGTGTGGGCTGTTGGGGGGTGGCGGGGTGGGGAGGAGCTGAGTGAGCTCATCCACAATAGAGCCAGCTTCGTCCTGCAGCCAGAGGAGAGGGGCTGGGGACCAGGAGGGGCAAGGCCCAGAGAGCAGACAAGGACAGGCTGAACCTGAGGGCTCGGTCCGAGGAGACTGTTGTGACACCACCATTTTCCCCTCATCGGCTCGAATCTAGGAAAGGGAAGTCAGAAGTCCTCACGTCAGTGCCTGGTCACAACCTTTTCTACCTCTCCGCTCCCTTCACCACCTTCCCCTTTCCGCAAGGTTCCCGTGGCTCCTCAGGACAGGGAAGATTGTGATGGAGGGGGGTAAGACCAAGGCAGCAGGGAGGTGTCCTCGAAGATGATGAGGGAGAGTAACTTCCGGGTTCCAGGTCTGAGGCTAGAGTGGAGAAGGGAACCGGGATTCCAAAAACTGGGGTTCCACTCACACATCTCTGTTTCTCCTCTACTAAAAGCAGGTGGATTCCTGCTGCTGCTCTCTGCAATGATGAGAGAATAAGAATATACCAGGCTTTGAGGTTCCAGAAGGAACTGGCCTGAGTCTCATCCTCTGCTGCACCCCGCCCCCGCGGACTACCGGGCAGTTGATGGGGAGGTGGGCAGGTGAGGGCCTTACCTTGGGACTAGGAGGAGGGTCACTCCAATTGCACTTAGCAGTTGGAGAGGTGGATGACTGATGACGGTAAGCAAAGTTGGGGAGGGAAAGGAAGTTCAAACCGTGGACGAGGGTGAGTCATCCCAAGCACTGCCCAGGAGGTGTCCTGAGGGGAGCGGCATCACGGCTTCGCCCTCACACCTAACATGGTGGTGGCCACGTAGCAGATGCCCAGCGATGCCCATGGCAGAGCTGGAGGTCCAGTTTGTCTCTGCCAATGCCCCTCAAGAATGGCTGCTTCCATAGTGAAGCCAAGGGCTATGGAAGTCTGGCCCCTCGCCCCACCCTGGGACCTCCAAGGAGCTTGGGCAGTGACCCAGGGACTTGCAGCCACTCCCTGCCCCCTCGATGGTGCCCCCGTACAGCTCTCCAGACATGCCTTATGCAGCAAACGTTTATTGAGCACCTGCCTACTTGCTCCAAGCGGGACACTGGGCTAGACCCTGAGGATACATAAATGAACAAGACTCTGTCCCTGATCACAAGGAGCTCACAGTCTAGCTGGGCAGGTGGACACAAAGGAACAAGAAAGCATAAGCCAACATAAACCCTCCAACAGATGTTATGCCGTGCTATGGGAGTCCAGGGGAGAGGGAAGAGATCAACTCTGGGGAAGACAAGAAGGAGCAGAACTCTTCACAGAAGTAGTGGTGCCAGAATAGGGTTGTAAGGGATGCATAGGAACTCTCCAGATGGTGTGGAAGGCTTCAGGCTGAGGAAAGAACTCGGGCCAATATGCAGAGGTATGAAGGACGCAGAGGCACTGGGGTATGGCTCTGTTGGGGCGCAGGGTAGATGAGGCTGGAAGAGTCCTGGGGCCAACTAGGCATGGCCAAGCCTTTACTAGGTCGGTCTGCTCCAGCCCCTGCCCTGGGAAGGAGAATTGCCCAAGAACTAACAAAGGGGGCTTTTGGGTGGGGTTCCCCACTCAAGTTCAAGAAGAGGAGCAAACATGTCACTGGAAAGCAGCGTGGCGAGGCCCAGGGTTGGCTTCAGTCATCTCTGGGTAGGACGTGTGCATGCCTTTGTGTGCCCTTGTTTTTGTTTCCGGTCGCCAGTGGTTTCCTAGGAAGGTTCCTTGTCGAAGCTCCAAGTTTGGCCTGGCTGATCCAAGGGAAAAGTGGACTTCTTTGCGCTCGGGCAGGGAAATCAGCATCTTCTAGAAGCAGGACCAGAGGGGACAGGGCGGAAGACAGGGCAATTCCGGGCAGGTTCCTTGACCCCTGTTCACTGGGCAATTTCTGTAGCCCCTTGTCCACCCTGCTTCCCTCCCCCACACCAAAGGCAGTGGGGCAGTTCTGAGAGGAAGTCCCCAAACTTTCTCTCATCCTGCCAAGCCTGGTCCCCTCCCACCAGGGGAAGCGCCTGCCTTGGGTGGATGGGGGACACACTCCTTCCCACGCAGGGCTCCTCCAGAGTATAGGCAGAGTAGTCAGTCCGCACCAAGCTGGATGGAGAAGGGCAGGGGCCCAGAGTGGCATAGGCAGGCGGGGGGGCTGTCAAGGCTGAGAAGGTGGCAGGGCCTGGTGGGGGTGAGGAGAGGGATGTGGAGTAGGGGCAGAAATGGGAGGGGAGGGAGGAAGCTGGAGTGGAGGCCACCTCCTGGGCACCCCTGCCCCCTCGGCCCGGAGACCAGTATCGGCTTCGGAACCTCCGGAGCAGCATGAGGAACGTGATGACCAGGAGGTCAAAGACGAACTCAGCCATCTCCACCACAGAGAGCACCGAGGAGCCGAACCACAGGCTCCACTGGCTGCCCAGGTTGGACAGGAGGGTGACCATCTGTGAAGGAAAAGGGCACGCTGATCACTAGGGCAGAGGTGGAAGAAGAGCCCCATCCCTCGTTCCACGAGGCCCTCACCCACCCCTTTTGGCTTCTTGGTGGTCCCCTGGACCCCTTCTGTCCAAGTCATTCCCATCTGGCACACCCTTCCCTCTCACCATGCCCAGAGACCTCATCCCCCAGCCAAGCTCCCCTTCTTCCAACCTTCTCAACCTCACCCTTACCCTCCCATCCTTTCCTGTTCCTCTACCTTCAAGGCCCAGACCCCTGTGGCCCCACAGAGGCACCCCCCCTTGTTTTCCCTGACAGCCACCCATTAAGACCTCCAAGAGAATCGCTGGCTCAATAAGGACATACCGTGACAGAGGGAGACTCAGAATTGGTTTTGTATTTCAGCTCCTTGAAGAAGATGTTGAGTTTGGCAACCCCATTTCTTCGGAGTTGAGGAGAGGGTAGGAAGAAATGGCAATGGATTAACTTCTCAGACCCTCACAAACAGCCTCCCCCGATCACGTCCTCCTCCTAGACTGGTTTTCCCTCCCAGGGACTCCTCTCCACAGCCAGACCAGGGTAGGACTGACCTTTTGTTGCTGATGGTATAATTGTTCTGTCGGGATAGCATCCGGAAGATCCAGTCCTGGAAAAGAATGGGGGTGTCAATGGGGTCACCCCATACTCTTTAGGCTTATAGGGCTGGATGTGGCATCAAACACATGCATATACATACCCAGAGAAGACCACAGTGTGTTACACACACACACACACACACACACACACACACACACACACATCCCCTATCCCTCCCCTTCCCCACTTTACCTGGGATGTCACTGAGGGCCATCGTGAATAACCGGCAGAGAGCTTGTAGCCAGTCACACTGGGGATGGAGAAAGGAACTCAGTGATTGAGGTGAGGTTCTCCCGCTCAAAGGCTTAGCCAAGTACCCTGGACTCTCCCCAGCCAAGTGGCCAGCTAGCCAACCTGTGCCCCAGGGGACGGAGACACTCACCTGCATGGCTTCCGGCACTTGGTGAAACAGCCCAGACGGTCCGAGGAAAAGGCATCCTGAAGCTTATAGTAACAGTAACCTATGGGTGCAGACAGGTGCCCATTTTCCTGGGGCACCTCCACCTTCTCCACCCCAGACCCAAGAGGTGTCCCAAGATACAAGGGTACCCACATCACAAGTAGTATTACAGGGATGCCTCCTGAGTGCTAGCACGAAAAGGTGTTTAAGAAACTAGGCTAAGTCAGGAAAATTAAAAAAAAAACAAAACAAACAAACAAACAAACAAAAAACCAACAACCCAGGACACACCTATGTAAAGATGAGTAAGATAGGGACGAAAATCTAAAATCAAAAAGAAAACCAGGAACAACTGTGTAAGAAATATGAGCTTAAACCACAATGAGATGCCACTTCACACCCACCAGGATGGCCATTGAAAAAATAAGTAAATAAGTATCGGGGAGGATGTGAAGAAACTAGAACCTTCCTACATTGCTGCTGGGAACGTGAAATGGTGCGGCCACTTTGGAAAAGAGTCTGGCAGTTCCTCAAAATGTCGAACACGGAGTTACGAGATGACCCAGAAACGCCACTCCTAGGTATATACCCAAGAGAACTGAAACATATGTTCACACACAAAATAGAAACAGGAAATAGAAACAACCCAAGTGTCCGTCAACTGATGAACGGGTAAAAACACAAGGCGGAGCTATACGACAGAATATTATTCAGCCCTGAAAAGGAACCAAGTGCCAATAGATGACACAAGGTGGATGACCCTTGAAAATGCTATGCTAAATACAAGAAGCCAGTCACAAAGGACCACATAGTACAGGATTCCATTCACATGAAATGTCCAGAATAGGCAAATCTGTAGAGACGGAAAGTAGATTAGTGGTTCCCAGGGGTGGGGCAGGGGGCTGCGGGTGCAGGACACGGGAAGCTCAGAGAGTGCTAATGGGTAAAAAGTTTCTTTTGGGAGTGATGGAAATGTTCTAAACTTGACTGTGGCTGCCACACAGCTCCATGATTATACTGAAAACTAAAACTATACTAAAATCAAATTGTGCACTTTAAATGGGTGAATTACCTGGGACAGAAATGATCTCAATAAAGTTGTTACCTAAAAAGGTGGGGGATGAGTCTATGGATCCCCCTTCTCCCCTATTTGCCAAGTTCCAAGCAAGGTTATTGTGTCATTCTTGCTACTTTGTTGCCCGTTCTGGAAGTCCTCCATTTCTGACCCCCAAATGGCTTCGTCTGCAAGGACTGGGGGGGGGGGGGTCTGGAACAGCAAAGCGTGGGGGACAGCTGGGCCCTTTCCTCTGGGGAGTCAGGAGTCCTTAGGAAACAGCAGACCGTATCCCCCAGTTCCTCTCCCCCATCCTCCTGGCTTCTCAACAATCAGCATCGTTATTTTTCTCTCACAGATCCTCAAACTCACAGCCACTTAGCAATCATTGGGGGCAGCGAGGCACAGTGGGTGGGGAGTCCCTGCTCTGCACATGGGAGGGGGGACATCACATCACATCTTCCCCCTGGGCCTCAGCCTGCTCATCTGAGAAAGGAGCCGGTGAGGCCAGATGGCCCCTGAGTTTCCCTCCAGCTCTGGTGCGCTCTGACCTAAGGCAGGAGAGATGAGAACAGGAGGCCAGAACTACCAAGTACAGGGCAGGGGAGAGATCTGTGGGGAGCACACCCAGGGAAGGGAGGAGGCAGAAAAATCCACAGGGACAGAACCAAGAGAGGGGTCTGCCCCGTCCCCTTACACATGTGGAGGCTCATCTCCTCCAGCAATGGCCACCAGCAGGAGGAGAGCTGAGATGCCTCCTGAGTGCTAGCTAGAGCCCCGGGGGAGGAGGACCTGGGGAGGACCGGTCAGTTGCACCAAGTAAGAGCATGTGCGCCAGGATTGCCAGTCCTCTACTTTCTAGTTTCTTGTTTGGGATTTTCCTCCCTCTTAGGTTCCTAGAACAGAGCTTCCATGCAGCGTAACTCAGCTATAGTTATAGAAAGGAACAGGGATTTGTCTACTCCTAAACCAGGATACAAAGGAGATTTCAGTGCTCTCCAAACTTTTTTGATTGTGCCCTCCAGTAGGTAAAAAAATTCTTAAATTGGGGTGCCTGGTTGGCACCCCTCTGACACTTGGTTTCAGCTCAGGTGGTGATCTCAGAGTTGGGAGATCGAGCCCCGTGTCAGGTTCTGCACTCAGCGCAAAGTCTGCTTGGGTTCCTCTCTCCCGCTCCTTCTGCACCTCCCCCCCCCCCCATGTGCTCTCTCTCTCCCCCCCCCAAATAAATAAATCTTTTAAAAAAAATCTTAAATGAGTAACACTATATGTATTGATTTCTAAATTCCATACTTGCTACTATAGAACTGATCCATTAGGTACATTATAAAACATATATAGAAGGGAAGATGTTAGGGAATTGGATAGATACATGTAACTTCTAGTATTTTCTTCCAGCACCCAGTGAGCGGTCTTGTGCCTTGCCCAGCACCTGGCAAGTGAGACGGGGAAGCTCCTGGCAGAGTGTGCACTAGAACCTCAGCAGGCAGAGTGTGGAGTGAGCGAGGGAGACTTTCCTCATGTGCTTTGCCTGCCTTATGCTGTGAGTCATTTTTAAATGGGGCGATTCTCTATAAACACAGAGAAGCCAAAATGCAGGGAGAGAAGCTGAGAGGGAGGAACAGGGAGAGAGGAGAGAGAGAGAGAGAGTGAGAAGAAATTGAGAGGTGAGTCTAAGGGCTGGAACGCAGGAGAGAGAGAGAGAGAGAGTTAGCGTCACACAGGGACCCAGAAGGAAGCACACACTTCCGCTCCAAGAAAGCCCTGGGGCCCAGCGGCAGACCAGGGGCTCCCTGTGGTCTCACCCCAGGAATTATGCTTCCTGTAGTCACAGAACTCCACATTCTTGGGCAGCGGATAGAAGATGTAGGCACAGCCACACTCCTTGATCATGTTCTCCTGGAAGCAGGAGCGGATACACACCTGGAGGAGACAGGGGTGGTGGGAAAGGGGGTTCAGGCCTGCCCTCCCCCCACACAGCCCCAGAAGGGTAGGACAAACCATTCTCCGCACCCCACTTTCCACCTGCAACACACATACACACATACACCCCTCCAACTTTCGATGGGCCAACAGGGCAGGCCTGGGGGATGGTTGCCATAGAAACAGGCTGGTCTCACCTGCTGTGTGTACTTGGAAAGATAAAGGTTCTCCACAGGGACATCACTGCCATTCTTGGTACAGTCACCATAGTTGCCCCCAAGTCTGTCCAGGGCTTCCTGCGCACCCACACACACAATGAAGTCAGAGGTCAGAGGTCAGAGCAAGTGGCCCGGGCCCCTTCCTGAATTCTCTGTCTTCCCTCAGTCCAGAGGGTTTATATCTCCTACCCTGCCAGCCTCTCTGGTCTGCCTCGCCATTTCAGAACATGCCCCCAGGGGCCCCCAGTGCCCATCCCGGTGCTACTTGCAAGGACAGAGCGCCCTGGGAACTCTAGGCACGTCCTGAACCGTTCTCGGCACTCCCATCCACGGTCCCTCCTCAGGTCCCTACTTCTCCAGGCCCTCGCTCCCGATTCTGCTCCTGAAGACCTCCACCCGCCTCAGACCCACTCCACACGAACTCCCTGTCCGGTCTTCTGGCTGTCGGGTCACCTCTCCTGCCCTCTCCAACCTGCGGCTCTCCTCCCAGGCCTCCCAGGCAGCACCCTTGCCTTCCTCATGCTGATGGATGTCTCCACGCCAGGCCGCAAGTTAAAGCCGCCGTCGTCCATGAAGGCAGGCTCATCCTGCCCGTGCACCATCACCCTGGCCCCAGTCACCGTGGACAGCAGCGGGATGAAGTCATTCTGCTCTGTGCGCAGCGTCAGGGACAGGCCTGGGGGTGCAGAGGGAGCAGAGTGGGGGAGGTCTTGGAGAAGTGGGAGGGGACGGAAACCCCCTCTCCCACCTGCCCAGGCTCTAATGCTCCAGGGGAGGGCAAAGCCAGGAAGACCCACGTAGGGATTTGGCGAGCCCTGAGCTGGATTCGGGGGCGGGCAGGCAGAACTGGGACAGGATTCCTATCACACCTGGAATCGGCTCTGGTGCCCATGGGGGCAAAGAACTGAGAAGACTCCTCCCAGGATAGAGATAGGCACGTTGTGGGGAGGCCACGCGGCACACGGCGACTCTGAAGGTGTGAGCACGAGGTGGATAAAGGCGGGTGAGCAGGGCCAGGGGAAGCCCTGAGGCAGAGGCCAGGGATGGTGGGAAGGAGGAAGGGCTCACCATTTTTGATCCCGGGCATGGAAGACATCCAGAGGTTAGAGTTGTTCTTGCCATTGAAAGTGTAGCAGTTCCCATACATCGGGTGGTGAAAGTGAGAGTAATTCCTATCCAGGAGAGGGAGAGAGTAGGATCAGAAAGGAAAGTGTAGGGGGTCAGAGAGAGCAGGCCCTCCAGTGACCCTTGTTTCCTGACCACCTACTATGTGCCAACACACCCCGGGAGCTTTACCCACGCTCCCTAAGCCACTCCAACCAATAGCCTGGGAGGGCATCACCCCCACATCACAGAAGAGGAAGCCAGGGCTCAGAGAGGTCAAGGAGCTGCCCAAGGTCACACAAACAGTGATGACAAACTTGGAACTCAAACACAGGTCCTCTACCTTCTAGCCCAGTCTCTTCCCTCCAGGCCACCTGACCTCACTGGCCTTGTGACCTCTCTTGTGTCACTGTGTTGCATCATGAAGACTTTAGCGGTTTCCTTAGCTTCTCACATGTCTAAATCTTAGTTACCCCTTTGGACTGTGATCTCCTGGAGGACAGGGGTCACACCTCACTCATCTCTGTATCATCTCTGGGTTAACTGCATAGTTCCCAGCATAGAGACAATAGAGGAGATGGATAATAAATAGCGGCTGAACGAATGAAGTGGAGAACTGGGAGGGAACAGAGTTAGAGGACAGAGTGAGACCAGTGGTGGGGCGTGGAGCTGGAGGTCAGACCCCAGGGCGGGAATGAGCAGGGTTCTGCTGGGGTGGCCCTGAGCGAGTCATTTTCTCTAAGCTTATCCTCCTCATCTATCAAGTGAGGAGACTGGAACGAGATGATCTGGACTATTCCTTTGGCCTTAAAGAACAAAAGCCCAGAGATGTGGAACACGGGTGCCCGTCCTAGGAAGTGCTAGGGATGGAAGAAGAGGCTCCAGAAGTGAACAGAGGCCCGTCCTGAAGGGCCTGGGAGCCCTGCTCAGGGGAGAGAGGGCACAGACAGGTCCGACAGACAGTGCTGGGGCGCCTGAGTGCGGCTCAGTCAGTCGAGCATCCAACTCTTGATTTTGGCCCAGGTGGTGATCTCATGGGTCATGGGATCAAGCCCTGTGTCAGGCTCTCTGCTCAGTGGGGAGTCTGCTTGCAGATTCTCTCCTCCTCTCCCTCTGCCCCTCCGCCCCCAAACAGATAAATAAATCTTTTTTTTTTAAAGATTTTATTTATTTATTTGAGAGAGAGAATGAGAGATAGAGAGCACGAGAGGGAAGAGGGTCAGAGAGAGAAGCAGACTCCCTGCTGAGCAGGGAGCCCGACGTGGGACTCGATCCCGGGACTCCAGGATCATGACCTGAGCCGAAGGCAGTCGCTTAACCAACTGAGTCACCCAGGCGCCCTAAATCTTTTTTGTTGTTATTGTTGTTGTTAAAGATTTTATTTATTTATTTACTTGACAGAGAGAGACACAGCGAGAGACGGAACACAAGCAGGGGGAGTGGGAGAGGGAGAAGCAGGCTCCCCGCGGAGCAGGGAGCCCGATGCAGGGCTCGATCCCAGGACCCTGAGAACATGACCTGAGCCGAAGGCAGACGCTTAACCGACTGAGCCACCCAACCCAATAAATAAATCTTTTTTAAAAAGGTAGGGGGGCGCCTGAGGGGCTCATTCGGTTAAGCGTCTGCCTTCGGCTCAGGTCATGATCTCAAGGTCCTGGGATCGAGACGTGTGACAGGCTCCCTGCTCAGTGGGGAGCCTGCATCTCCCTCTCCCTCTGCTTCCCCCCAACCCCAGAACCCTCATTCATGCTCTCTCTCTCTCAAGTAAATGAGTAAAATCTTTAAAAAATAAATAAAATTAAAAAGAATGAAGTGTTGCTACAACATGGACGGGCCTTGAAAACATTGTGCTGAGTGAAAGAAGCCAGAGACAGAAGGCCACATAGAATATGATTCTATGTATACGAAATGCCCATGATAGGCAATCCATAGAGACAGAAAGTAGATTCCTGCTTTCCAGGACCTGGAGGAGGGGAGGGAATGGGGAGAGTGACTGCTAGTAGGTGCAGGGTTTCTTTTCAGGGTGAGGAAAATGTTCTTAAACTAGATAGTGCTTGCACAATTCTGTGACTATGCTAAAAATCACTGAATGGTATACATCTAAAGGATAAATTTTATGGTGCGTTGTATCTCGACCAAGCTGGCATTAAAGAAAAGATTACGGAGAGAAGGAAAAAGCCATGATAAGGGGCTTCAATTCGATTCCGGAGGCCATGAGAGACAGTGGAGGATTTTAAGCAGGACTAACTGGAAGAGCTACAGAATAAAGAGAGGATTTGGAGTCAGAAAGACGAATGGGAGGTGAGGGGATTATAATAAGCCGGATGAGATATGACGAGGCTCTGAGCTAAGGAAGTGACCTAACCGTCAAGACCGAGATGAACTCTGGACTTGCCGCTGATGGGGAGGTAGGAGCACGGGGCTGGCACAGTGAGAGGACCGTTGGGAAGGTGATATTTAGGCGGCAGGTGTAAGCTTCCCAGCAGGTAGCGCCTGTCTTCAAACAAACATGAGGACGAGAAACAGGAACAGAATCGTGCGCTGGCCAGTGTGCGTGTGCCAGGTGAGGGTGGGGGCAGAAGCAGGTGACACCTGTCCCTGCTGCCATGCTGCAGCGACATGAGAAGGAAGGGCCCCTCAGCACCCTTCCTCAGCCTGGCAGAGGCAGCGAGATGGCACCTGAGAACGTGAAGATTAAGGAGCAGGAGGAGAAGGGAAGGCGGAGGTAGGAGAGGCCAGAGGCTGCCACCTGCCATGACCTCTTTCCAAGGACAGAATGACAAGTTCTGGCAGAGGGAATGCCTGGCGGGCAGTGCAGGGGAGTGGGAAGCCCTTGGCTAGGGCTGGCCTGGCGGCCTAGGGCAAGCCACATTCACCTGTTGGAGTTCAAGAGCAATGAGACCCATTTCTCCCTGCAGTTTACAAAATGCCCTCACACTTATCTCATGAACTTGGAGATGGGTATAATCAACATCCTCATCGCTTGAAAAAAAGTGCCAAAAAGCCAAAGATTATATATATTTTTCCCATTTGGTGTATCCCAAATTCCTAAAACAGTGACTGGCACACAGCCCAGATAGTAAACAGTATTGGTTGGATGAACATTGAATGGATCTCATTTCCCACCCACCCCCACCCCCACCCCCATTTTACCAACAAACAAACAAACAAACGGGCTCTGCAGAGTGACGTGAAATGCCTAGAGTCACCTGGCCGGGAAGTTACAGAGCCAGAGCAGGGACCCAGGTTCGCTCCCTCATTCAATCCATGCTATTTCCACCAAACCATTACTGTCCACCTTCTCCAAGAAGATGACCTTCCAGGCACTCTTGAGTTTGGGGCTAGTGACAAAGAGGCCTTAGAAAGATGGAGAAGCATGCTTCCAGCCATTGGAGTCTCAAAGCCAGGGCTCAACTCCAGCCTTCCCAGGGCATCCATATTCAGCTGTCTGACTCAGACCCAGCCCTGCAGGCAGCAAGAGCGGCAGAAGCCCTGCAGGATAATCCACGGGACAGAGGTGTGGACCTGAGGCGCTTTCCTCTCCTCCCTGCACCGAGCATTTCCTAGGTGCTGCCCATATGAGTCTCAGATGGGCCTCGGGGAAGGAGACCCTGTGGGGAGCAGGGAGCAAGGCAGGAGGGACTCACGCCTGATTGCAGGAGGCCTGGTTGAAGCGGCAGGCGAAGATGAAGTTGTCCAGCATGTCCTCCCCCGGGGACGGAGAAGTGTCCCCCAGGCGCGAGAGAATGTTGATGTAGTGGAAGCGGTACCACTCCCTCACTGCATCCACCCCTGACGAGTAAGTCTGGTAAAAGCAGTCCGATTTGTTCTGGTTGCACTAGACACAGAGACCACAGAGTGTCAGAGGGCCAGCCGCAGGGGACAGGCTGCAGGGCAGGCTGAGTTCAAAGGATGAGTGGTCTGGGGTCCCGAGGACTGATAGACAGGGCTGGGGAGCCAGGAGTGGGGAAGAACAGAAGGCAGACAGAAGCTGAAGCCCGGAGGACAGCGGACCAGGAAAGCATGGGCTTAAGGGAGTGGTTGGCCAAGGAGACCGGGAGCTGTACACACACCTTGTGGGTCATTTATAGTCTCCGCGAGAGGGTGGAGCAAACATTCGTCTCCCCATTTTACTGATGGGAAGACCGAGGAATCAAGAGGTTTGCCCTCGCAACTGCACCAGGACGAGAACCCAGGTTTCCTGGCTGTATGGTCCACTCTCCCCAAACGGGGTCTCTCTTCTCTCCTCTGTTACTCTCCCACTTCCGCTTATTCTCCATTTTATTTTTTAATAAAACACTTTTTTTAAGTCTTTTTCCTGTCTCCTTATTCGCTCTTAGGCCGGCAGAGCCCCAGTTCCCTACTGATGGGTCCCAACTGAATCCCACCAGTGGGGCCTGACGATTCGGAAAGGTGCTTTTCCCACAACGGATTTGACTTCCGGCCGCTGGAACGCTCCCAACAGAGGCCGGGGCGAGGAGACCCCACAAGCCGACAGAGAGATGATAGTTATTTAATTAATGCATTTTGCCAGCGGGCCGGCGAAGTCTCGCCCCCCGTCGCTAGGCAACAGAGGCGGGGTCCGGAAAGGCAGCCCAGTCCAGGGCGCCGGCGGAACCCAGGGGCCGGGGCGCCGGGGCGGGGCGGGGCCTCCGGGGGCGGGGCCTCCGGGGGCGGGGCCTTACCAGCTGGAAGCCGATCTTCCAGTCCTTCCAGTTCACTTGGGGGTTGTTGTCCCGCACAATGGAGGCGGCGCTGCGGGCTGGGCGGGCCCGGGAGGGCGGGGCCGGGACCGCCAGGCGCTCCAGGGGGTGCGGCCAGGTCTCCCGGAGGTCGCGGCGACCGCGGGGTTGGGCCCCCAGGGTGTTGGAGGAGTTGTATTTGTACAGGTCGTAGAGCGTCTGCTCTGTGATGCGGTCCAGCTCCTCCAGCTCCTCTTTAATTTGCGTGTACCTGGAAGGGGCAATGGGAGGAGGGTCGGACTGGGGGACGGCCTCGCGTGAGTGCCTGGCCCCTGCGGGCCTCAGTTTCCTCTCCCGAAACCGGTGAGGTCGGTTCATCAAGGAGAAGCCGGCGGGGAATAGCTCTGATGGCTCCAGGGCTCTCTCGGAGGACGGGGGACGTGGGGATGTAGACAAGGTGCTCCGCGGGGGCAGTGGAGGCGACCGTGAGCCCCTGCGGTGACGGCATTTATTACGGCCTGTTTATCAGAAGGGAGAGGCGGGAGGCGCCTGTCTGTGGGGCGCTCTCCTCCCACTCACCCTGGCCGCGATGGGAACCCGGAACTCGTCTGCCCTTTTCCGAAGCGGGAGAGGGTGTGGCCTCGTTCTGCGCCCACACGCTCGCTCGGACCCGCGCTGTGCGGGTCAGGACCTTTGGGCCCGTCTGCCACCCGGCCCCTTCTAAATTAGGGGTGCTTAACTGCACTTCTAGAATCTCCCCAGGAACTTTACAGATGCCGCACACGGCCCCTCCCCATCAAAGACTCAGTTTTAATGAGTGATGGGTGGGGCCCCAACACCAGAAGTTAAACACTGTCCAGTATAAATCATCACATTCCTTCTCAGTACAGGCCCTATTACCATCTCCAACATGAAAGTCCATAGTAGCAGTGCCTTAGGGCTAGAATCTACCAAAACAAAATACACACACCTAGAACTAATCAATTCAACGAGGTTGTAGGATACAAAACCAATGTACAAAAACTAATTGTATTTCTACATAATAGCAACAAAAAGATGGAAAAAAGAAATCACAAAACAAAACCATATTAAATAACATAAACAACATCAAACACCAGGAATAAATTTAATGAAAGGTAGGCAAGAGCTTTATCCTGAAAATCATGCTGAGAGAACTCAAAGGCCAAAACAAATGGAGAGTTACATGACTTCATGGGTCAGAAACTCTGTATAGTTAAGGTGTCTCCCAAATTGGTCTTGAGGTTCAGCACAATCCCCATCAACATTTCAGCAGACATTCTGAAGAAACGGACAGGCTGATTCTAAGGCGTATGTGGAAATGGAAAGAATGTAGAGTGGCCAAAACAATTTTGTTTTTAAGTTTATTTATTTATTTTTTAAGTAATCTCTACACCCAACATGGGGCTCAAACTCAGAACCCTGAACTCAAGAGTCACACACTCTTCTGAGCCAGCCAGGCACCCCTCAAAACAATTTTGGAAAAGAGCAAAGTTGGAGTACTTTATCTGACTTCAAACTTACAGTGAAGCCACAGTTGGCAAAACAATGTAGTGCTTATGTAAGGACAGACAAAACTCACACATATACAGTCAACGGAGTTTTGACCAAAACACCAATTCAATTCAATGGGAGAAATAATTTTTTCAAACAGATGGTGCTGGAACAGCTGTATACTGTATTGAGAAGAAAAAAAAAAAAAGGAAACTCAACCTCTACCTCAGTTTATACACAAAAGTTAAGTCAGGTTGGATCACAGACGTAGACATAAAATTCAGAACCAGAAATATTCTAGAAGGAAACATCGGAGATATCTTCATGACCTTGAGGTAGGCAAACGTTTTTTGGAATAAAAAATATCTAAGGAAGCAACTGATGAATCACTAAACTCTACCTCTGAAACTAATAATACATGACATGTTAATTAATTGAATTTAAATAAAATAAAATAAGAAATACCTTAGGAAGAATTTATCCTGCAATATAAAGACCTCTTACAAATCAGCAATAAAAAGGCAAATTGTTTTTAAATGAACCCAAAACAAAACAAAAATAATAAAAGTAAAAATGCACCAAAACATATACACAAATAGTCACTAAACACATGAAAAGGTGTTCAACATAATTAGTCCTCAGGGAAATGCAAATTAAAACCATAATGATTAATTCACTATGGTACACACCTGAAACTGATAGAATATTGTCTATCAACTATACTTCAACAAAAAATACAAATTTTAAGACAGGCAAACTTCTAAAAAAAAAGAAGCAGGAGGTACCATTTAACATCCATTAGGAAGGCTAAACCTAGGGGTGCCTGGGTGGCTCCGTCAGTTAAGCATCTGACTCTTGATTTCAGCTCAGGTCTTGCTCTCAGGGTCCTGAGTTCAAGCCCTGCATTGGGCTCCACACCCAGCATGGAGCCTCCTTAAAAAAAAAAAAAAAAAAGCCTAAACCTAAGGTATAATTGGGCGTCTAAAAGACTGACAATGTCAAATGCTGGTGGGAATGGACAGCAGCTGGAGTTGCAGCTGGTGGGAGTCGAAAATGGCACAGTCGAGGGCCGTTTGGTAGCCCTCGACTACCAAAGTTAAACACACATCTACCTTAAGACTCAGCAATTGCACTTCCAGGTATTTTACCCAATTCCACTCCTAGCTATTTATTCAAGCACAATGAAAACATAAAGACTTCTATGTGAATGTTCATAGCAGCTTTATTCATAATAGCCAAAAAGCTTGAAAACAACCCAAATGTCCATCAATACCACTCAGCAATAAAAGGAGGCTGATAAGGCAAAAAGCATGGGAGAATTTCAGAAACATTAAGGTCAGTAAAATCAGTAAGTTGAGCCAGACACATGCAAAAAAACCCAAATTCACATTGTGTCAAACTAATTGATGGTGATAGAAGTCAGAGAATGACCATGGGAGAGGGAGAGGAATGGACTTCAGATGGCCACCAGGTAATGGAAATGTTCAGGATCTTGATTGTCAAACCTCAGTGAAGACTTAAGATTTGTGCATGTTATTGTATATCAATTATACCTAAATTATTTTTTAAGATTTTATTTATTTGAAAGAGAGAGTAGGCGAGAGAGAGAGAGAAGGAGCAGGAGGAGGGGCAGAGGGAGAAGCAGACTCCCCGCTGAGCAGGGAGCCCACCGTGGGACTCGATCTGGGGACTCCGGGATCATGACCTGAGCCCAAGGCAGATGCTGACCCGACTGAGCCACCCACGCACCCAATTATACCTCAATTAAAGAAAAAGTCAATGGGGCGCCTGGGTGGCTCAGTCATTAAGCAGCTGCCTTCAGCTCAGGTCATGATCCCAGGGTCCTGGGATTGAACCCTGCATTGGGCTCTCTGTTCAGCGGGGAGTCTGCTTCTCCCTCTCCCTCTGCCTGCTGCTTCCCCTGCTTGTGCTCTCTCACTCTCTGTCAAATAAATAAATAAAATCTTTAAAAAAATAAAGAAATAATAAAAAAATAAAGAAAAAGTCAAGGGGCGGTGAAATTGAGCCCTGCATCGGGCTCCACGCTAGGCATGGAGCCTGCTTAAGATTCTCTCTCTTCCTCTTCCTCTGCCCCTCCCCTCACTCACACTTTCTCTTTCTGTCTCTAAAAAAAAAAAAAAAAAAAAAAGGAAGAAAGGAAGAAAGGGAGGGAAAGGGAAAGGAAGGGAAGGGAAAAAGTCAAAAACCTGTGTGTCAAGGCGCCTGGGTGGCTCAGTTGGTTAAGCGACTGCCTTCGGCTCAGGTCATGATCCTGGGGTCTCAGGATCGAGTCCGGCATCGCGCTCCCTGCTCAGCAAGGAGTCTGCTTCTCCCTCTGACCCTACCCCTTCTCATGCGTGCTCTCTCTCTCATTCTCTCTCAAATAAATAAATAAAATCTTAAAAAAAAAAAAAAAAAACCTGTGTGTCAGGGGCACTGCCAGAGATCTGGGTTTCGTGGGAAAGGGTGGGGCCCAAACAAGGTTGTTTTACAAGAACCCCAGGGGCCCTAACCAGTCTCTAGGCCATATCCTCACTACCTCCTCCACTTGTCTCGGTTTCTCTCTCCTTCATAAAGTCTAGCTGGCTGGGCCCCAGGCATCAGCTCCAGCTGCCCCTCATCTCCTCAGAAAATGTAGCTCAGGTCAGAGGTGTGTGTTTGACATTCCCAGAGACTTGCTTGTGATTGGTAATTATAAACGACGGCAGAAATGGCTAGTCTTTATTGAGCACTTACGCTGAGCCAGGCACTGTGGTATTAGAATGCACATTATTTCATGTACTCTTCAGTGTAATTCAGCAAACTATTGGCCATGTCAGCTAATACTATTGTCATTCCTTTTTACAGGTGAAAAACCTGAGGCAGGTGGCTTGTTCAAGATCACCCAGCCAGGAACCGGGTCAGAAAGCGCTCTCTCCACCACACTGTCCTCCTCTGTCCCTGCCGGCTCTGGCTACTTGAGGAGGTTGGCAAGCTGCCCCAGAAGGAGCACCAGAGCCAGGATTGACCAGATGTAGGTCCTGGTGTTCCGGCCACATACTTCAGCAGGGTAATGCTGGTAAGTAATTCAACCTTTCGGAATCCAGCCGCAGCTTTCCCACCTGTAAAATGGGCACAGCCCTAGATCTGCGTACGACGTGAAGCTCTCAGGGGGTTAAGAAAACATTCAGTGACACAAAATGAAGAAGCCACTGAACAGCAGGAAGACACGGACAGGAGCCTGAAGCCCAGGAAACGCAACCGTCTTTCTCCTGGTCACATAGGAAGAATCCCGGTCCCCCACCTTGGCTGGAGTTATTTTCACATAGGCCACCACATCTCTGGCTGAGCATTCCCTTTCCACATCCCCCTAAGCAGTCTCAAGTTCCTCTGTGCCCCTCTTCTGCCTTGTACACACCCCTCACCCTCATCATCGACTCAGAGTGGTCTGTCACCTTCTCTAGCCACACTGCTCCTCCCCACGGAGCCCCAGGCTGTCCCCATGCCAGTTCTCCCCTCAGCCCCCCACTCAGTCAGCTCTTTCCTGCCCCTTCCAGAGAGGCCTCTGATGAGACCCCACCCCTCACCCCCAGAAGAGGCCGGGCTCCATACAAAACACTCCCTCTTCAAGGTCTGCTTCTCTCCTTTTGGGGGGGAGAGACTCATTCCCATATCACCCCTTCAGAAAACAAATCTCTCTCTCCCTTTCGGTTGACACCTAGAATGAAGAGAAGTGACACTGAGTAAAATCCACTAATGACATCAGATCTTATCCTGCAA